CTTTTTTTCGAGTTGGGGGGTTCCAGACAGATTTATACAGGCTGGACGTGCCCCGGCACAGCGAAAATGACCTCTTTCTCCTTGTGATGCACAGAAATCAAAGTCAAAAGTGAAGCAGACTTATATACATCTAAAGATAATGGAGTTTGAAATTAGACCCGAAATTAAGTATTTATGTAGGACTAGTGGTCATGACGCAAAGGAAGCAAATTGACCTTGCATGCACCTAATTGCCATTCGCCATATCTTCCTTGCCAGTCAGATCGCAGAACGCCTTATAGGTGACGAACGGGCTCTCCTCTCCGCTGTCGGTGCTCTCGACAATGCACTCGGCATTGGCGCCGACAAAGAACACATAGCCCTCCTTCACTTCCTCCGACTTGTGGCCGACGGTGATCTTTCCGGCTCCGCCCGTGCAGATCAGAATGCTGGGGCCAACCAGTCCGTCGAAAGTCGCCTTGGCGCCGGGTCTCCTGAGCTCCGTCTTGACGACGCTGAATTCCTCGATGGGAGGGTCGTAGAGCAGGCAGGATGAGGCACTTGAGTACGCCGGCGCGTTGAGCACGACGTACGGGTAGTCAGTCGGCTGCAGCTTCTGCTCCTCGATGGGCGCATAGGAGTATGTCAACATCTCCGTGAGCGTGTCCACGTCCTTGAACTTGGGGGTGAACCCGGCCCGCACGACGTTGTCGGATGAAGCCATGCACTCAATGATGTCGCCTGAAACGTAGGCGTGGATGTCGTCGGCCTTCAGGAACATAGCCTCACCGGGGACGAGTTTCACGAAGTTGAGGAAGAAGAACACAAAGAGACCGATATCATCGGGGAATTGGCCATTGAGGCGAGTGATGATGGCAGCCAATTCGGCGGGGTTGCTGGGATTCGTCTCCGGGGAGGTGGACGAGGTAGCAAATGTGTCTGGTTGTTGAGTGGCTTCGACTAGTTCCTTAGTGGCGGCCGCAATGTCCTCGGTGGACGACTTCATCAGTGTGGTAAAGAGCGTGCGCAGAGCGTCCTTGTTCTTGGAGGTTACCTCGGGGTCTTCCAAACTCTCGGAACCCTGAACGGTGCGCTCGAACTCACTGGCCGCCTGCTCCCCAACCAGATTCCGGAGGGGTTTGACGGCCTTCAGGAAGTGTGTGATCTGGTCGAGGGGACGGAAGCTGCACAGGCCCTCGAAAGGAGTGATCGCGATGGCCATTTCGGGCTTGTGGTTGTCATCTGCAAAGCGATAACCAGAGTTAGCGGCGGTACGATCACTCTGGTTGTGACAACGATCACGAGCTACCTACCAGGATAGTTGCGAGGGTCTCTTGCGTGGAGCTTTTCTGCAAGCTTCTTGTTGGGGTGCGCTTGGATGCTAAGAGCTTTCTGGACAGAAAGCACCTTGAACAAGAACGGCAACTTCCCGCCATATCGCTCGCTGACCTCGGCAGACATCAGAGCCTGGTTATCCTGGACCATATCGAGCAAGGTCCGCTTGGTCTCGAGATCTTTGGAGGGAAGGGAAGGGTGTGTGCCCATCCATAGCTATACGTCATCGGGGTAAGTCAACAGCTTGCGGGGGCTCAACAACCAGGCGTACCAACCTCTGCATAAGGCTTCTCTGCCTCTATCGAGAAGTCAGAGTCGGATGAGGTAGCTGCATATTTGGCAGCCGCAGAATCATGGCCAATTTTGCCTGGGGTGAGCGTTCAGCGAAAGGCAGACGGGGAAAAATCGGGGGTGCGGGGAGCTCCTACCCCAGTCATAACTGTTGACACCTGCAAAGATCGAGTAGACTGTCAGTCCAAAACTCGAGACTGAGAATAAATATCGAAGCAGTCGGCACTTACCACATTGAAGCCGGAGCAATGGGACCTGCATTTTGACGGACGTGGAGGGGATAATGGGTGTGGTGTTGCCGATAACAGAACTGAAGCTCTAAGATAGTGGGATAGTGGGGGAGGGGAACTCAGGAAGGGGCAGAGCAGCAAAGAGCGGGAGGAGGGGTGGATATTCACTATAGGTAAAGTGTTCTGCTTCCAAGGGAAGTTAAGGAAGTTAGAGTGAATGAAGTTGAGGGGAAGAGGAGGAAGGAGGAAAGACTTTCAGAGATGAGATGTAACCCATCCCACCTCGCATCGACACCACTGTTCCCGGCCTCACCTCCATCACTCCATCACTCCATCATTGAAATCTGCCCCTCCAGATTCGTCCGATTGTCTTTCCACATGCGTTGCCAGTGTCCATCTCGGTACAACTTCCAGGCCTAGCGTCCTTACGTAAGTCGGTATTGGACAGGTTTTGTTTACTTAAGTCTAAGTCCAAGTTGAGTTAGTTGGTTAGGTGCCTTACGTGAGCCAGTCCGTGATGGTCTCTACCAATCAGGGGATGCCATGGAGTACCAAGCGTTTGCCGACCAGTCGCAGCCGAAAGAAGAAGAAGCAGACGACGCGCCAAGATCATGACGCCGCCGTCGGGGAGAATGTCCGTGAGGCGGCCGTGGAAGCAATACAAGCATCGCCAGCATCGCCAGCATCGCCAACATCGCCAGCAGCTCCGGCTTCAGCTTCCCAGATCCATCAGCCACGATCTCCTCGGCCTCAGTCTGTCGGGAATCAGAGGTGTTCAACTCCAGGGCCGCCTGCTGCTTCCCTGAACTCTTCCTCTCCTCAGACCGGTCTTTCTGAGGGTCGACCCCACGATCAGAGACAGGGCGCAGCGCGTGGAACACGCAGCTCGGCTCGCAAGGACCTGGTCTCCGCTTTCCCTTGGGAGGCCCTGGACATAGACAAGCTCAGGTCGACAACCACCACGACCACTCTTACTGCGACGAAAATAGCAAGCCCAGCCCTAAACACCACCCCAAGTAGGAGCTCCCCAATTCAAAGCAATAAAGGTCAGCAGCGGGCCGAAGATAAAGCTGCGGACCTGAGTCCCTCCCTCCGCATTATGTCCCGAAATCGGCCTCGAGGCCCTCCAGTCCCCAGGGACAATGGCCTCGCAGCCAATGAGGAGACTGATATGTGGAACAAGATTCTACAAGATCTGCGCAAGGCCAAAGAGAAGAACGACAAGCAAAAGGTCCTGGCCGAGCAAATAGCGACGCTGAATGAGAGGATCGGCCGAGAGGGCGGGAGTAAGTCACATTCATTTCCCTTCTCCATGAGCAATTGTCTCATTCACAAACAATGTCACATCTTCTGCGGTTCTGCTTTTCCCTTGTACAATGAAAGTTATATACCTAGAAATTGGGTCGCGCCATTGCTTCGTTGTTCGGTTCAAGCATGCTTGCATCTAGACCACCATCTACCCTTTTCTCGATGGCGGAGGCCTTTAGTCTTGCAGGCGCTAACGGATCTCAACAGAGCCTACTTTAAACGAGCATAATCAACTGGACAGCCTTTACAGGCAGATGGCGAAGTTATGCGAGGAGGAAAGAGCTATCCTCCAAGACGAGCCCAGCGATGTGATCAAGAACCTCGGTCTTCTGACAGCCCTTCGGCAGGCATCAGAAGCCGAGGCGCCGCAGAACCGAGCTGCATCTCTCTCCAAGTCACGGAAGAAGCGAAATGAGATGGACGGCTCGGCTACCGACTCGCCGGGTCCGTCCAATAACTCGTTGTCGGACAAAGCCAGCCGCGTGAAGGGTGGCATTCAGCGTAGTACGAGTGTTTCCAGCTCACAGGCCCGCGAGGGCCGGGACCACCCCATCGTACAGATCAAGGTAGAAGAAGGGTCCGAGGGCGCGAAGGGCACGCTAGCCGAACGAAACGGGCATCTGGTGGTGGGGGCGGAAGTCGTCTTCAAGCACAACAAGAACAAGCAAGGTGTCGAAGGCGAGGGCATTCAATGCATTATTAAAGGGATCACCGGGGATGGGCTCAAGAAACGGTACGCAACAACCCTAAGTCCAGTCCCACAGAACGATTGACCGATGTGCCTTCGAAAGGTATGATGTACAGGACCCGGAACCAAACGAAAACGGTGAACAGGGCGCGGTATACAAAACCGGCGCAGCGTCGCTGATCCCGATACCTCGCATCGGGTCAACATTGCCCTCGTTTTCGCTTGGGAAACAAGTCCTGGCAAGGTATCCAGACACTACCACTTTCTACCGTGCCGAGGTGATGGGTGCTAAGAAGGATGTCTATCGCCTCAAGTTTGAGGGTGAGGAAGATGATAAGGAGATGGAGGTTGACCGTCGCTTCGTTCTGGACATTCCCGGAAAGTGATGCCCCCGTCTCCTTCCCTCTCCTATCAGGCCTTTGCTCGCGCTCAAGCCTCGATAATCGCCAAGCCAGATGGAATGGCCCTGAAAGGACGTAGGAAAAGAAAGGGGAGAAGTCCGGAATCGCCTCCGATGTACGGCGCAGGAAACAATCTTTGTATTGCAATGAGAGGAAGGGTGAAATCGGCTGCCAGATTGTTCGGTTACTTGATACCCATTGTTTAGCTAGGCTTTTTATGATTTGATGGAGTTTTATGACTTTGCAGGGAGTTGGACGTTCTTTTCAATTTTTTCAGTTTTCAACTTGCTTCTCCTCCATCTCTTTGTCGTTTGGGATAAATCATTCTATACTAGGTAGCGGGCAAAGGATACTGTGGAGCAAGAACAAATGAACAAAGCAGAATGGATGGAATCTACTCGATCAGATTTGAGCCAAATAGGCTTAGCCCCAGTGTCTAGTCAGCATCACATACGCTACTAGGTACAGTTAATGGAAAGCCTGATTGATGTGTTTGCTGTGTTTGCATCCTCCCTCTCTCAGATCACTTGCAATTCATCCCAATGGACTAAACATAAATTAGACTGAGGTGGTCATGCTTTGATACTGCCTGCAGAATCACGGTGAGGTGTGGCGCGTTTCTGAAACAAACATGGATGCAAACTCTTAAACGTTAGTGACCTGCCACTATCTGACTACAGATCGCGTCATGCTGATTAATGATAGCTTAGTCATTGAGATTCCCCGCCCGTCGCCGAAGCCGCCGCAATTCCGAGGGGCCGAGACTAGAGTAACGCAGCGCCGAGATAGCAGTCCACGATGGACATCTATGATCATACAGTCATCTCCCCTTTTCTAGCATCCTACCTGGCTATGTTCCTCTTGTCGCAACTCAACTGCTGAATCACATGTACACCTTCCAACTCTAGGATTGAATTGATTTACCTTGTTCTCTCTCTTCACTAGAGCTCACACCTTCCTTCTCTCGTCCACCTTCACGATTCGTCATTCCCCGCCATGTCAAATTTACCGTCTCACGCCTCACCAACTTTTGGGGCGCAATCCGCTACTTCCAATCCCATTGAACAGCTCTCACTTGGGTTGGATCAAGTTGCCTCGAATAGTAGGATAGATGAACTCCGTGGCGATGCGGTCAGTGTGACCGACAGTGACCGGGGAGATATGACCCCCGCTGTGCCAGCCTCTCTTCTCTCCCCGTCCTTTACCCCGCCAGCAACCCCAGGTGGAACATTCAATCCGGCGCAATTGCTCCAACAAGCACAGCAACCTACCAGTTCCAAGCCGCCGAAACTCCTCTCGCGCCTACCCGATGTCGAATGCATTGTTCGTGCCCGTATCCCGACGACCACGGGCGCGGAGATGTTTCTTCACCTCTACCATAACGACCTGGATAACAAAGAACATTTGGCAATTGTCTTTGGCAACACAATCCGCAGCCGGAGCTTGGACAAAGTTCGACCTGGAGAGACCGAAATGGATCGCATGATTCGTGGTGCTTATGTCGGCAAACTCCACCCTGGTCGGGTTAGCAGCTGGTATGAGGAAGGGAACGCTGAGGGAGCGGAAGACACACAAAAGGCCGATGAGAGTACCCCGAGTCAAGCGCCACTTGTGCGAATCCATTCAGAATGCTACACCGGGGAGACCGCCTGGTCTGCACGTTGCGATTGCGGTGAACAACTTGATGAGGCAGCAAGACTCATGTCATTCCCCATGGAAGCTTTGTCCGAACTCGCATCACAGCAGTCAGTACCCGTCGCTTCGAACGCTTCTGGTGGTGTGATTGTCTACCTCCGGCAAGAAGGACGAGGAATTGGCCTCGGCGAGAAGCTCAAAGCGTACAACTTGCAGGATCTCGGATCAGATACCGTCGAGGCCAATCTCCTGTTGCGACACCCGGCCGATGCTCGAAGCTATGGTCTAGCTACCGCCATCCTTGTCGACCTTGGCCTGGGAGAAGATGCCAATCCCCACGGTATCCGACTCCTCACGAACAACCCTGATAAGGTGCGCGCAGTTGAGGGTCCCAACCGCGAGGTCGTTGTTAAGGAGCGCGTGCCAATGATTCCCTTGGCATGGAGATCGGGCGGAAAGGCCGGTATTACGAGTACAGAGGTGGAGGGATATCTTAGGACAAAGGTACGTACTTTTTTCTTCCCCCTTTTCCTCTCACCCATACTGTGGGGATTTTCCTTTATGCACCTTGGCCGTCGAGAAGTATCCCAATGCTAATCAATTGGATGACAGATTTCAAAAATGGGGCACATGATTCAGTAGATTAAAACAGCACCCTTTCCTTATTGCATTTGTGCACACCTTTCACAGTTTCTGCTTGCCTTTTTTACCCCTGGGCTTTATATACTCACGAGGACCTCAAGGGGAGGTCTTATGTAATGTACGGTGTTTATGAGACAGCGACGTCTATCTTGCCTTGCTTTTTTTTATCCTTACTTTCCTCGTCTGTGCGTACCGCGTTTCCAACGTCTTCGACGAGGTGCGCGGGGTGTATTACTACCTGTCTTAGTTTTCGTGCACATTGTACGTTTCGGTGGATCATGACTACAACAACTTCGGAGAAACAAAAAGGGGATCTGCGAACTTTGCTTCCCGTTTGGCTTGGGCGTTAATCCTTCTGTCAGATTGAAGACCAATGAGAACGGCTCCCTTGAGACTCGAGACTGACGGAGACGGATGGGAAGAACAATGGCCGAACAATGGCCAGAATGCTGTCGATGATGTGCACATTGACTGCTCAACCCTGGGCATGCTTTGTTTGCGCAGCTAGAACATGCCGAACGCCACGCTATCGAACTCTGTCCCCGTGGAACCATAGTTCTTGATTCTGCACCGCCATCTTGTCAAAAGCTGAAGAGACGAATGGCAATTGACAACATGAAGGCAAAACGTGGTGCGCAGTGGTACGCAGTGGTACGCAGTGGTGCTAATGATTGACTTTTGGGGGGGGGTCAATACCCACTGCTCCCACTGCTGGAACCAACCAGACCCAGTCGATTCCTTCCTGCGCCTTCGGGACCCTCCGTCCGCTTTCCCTTCCTCTTTCCCCCCATCATTAATATTTCCACCTTCCCCGATCATCTCGAGCATGCACTCATGCATGTCTCATTATCGTTTGATTAAAGCCATATCCACCAGTCAGTCCCTTTAAACGTCACATATTTCCAGCATTGGATGAAACAATAATTCCTTGTCAAACTTTCTCTACAACTCGTCGAATCTCACGTCCTGCCCGTGTTGAATGGCTGGGTAGCGTTCGGCCATGGCCTCCCGCCTACCGCCTCTCAATGATTTGGCTCGGCCGCCAGGCCTCGAGGAAACATCCCCATCATCCACATCCTCGCTGGTGCCCGGTCACCCTGTCACCTCTATTGCTGCAATTTCCGATTCGAACTCGGTGGTGAAAGTCGAGGACTCCCCCACCCCGTCTGCATTGGTCTCCGCCGATGCAGATACGCCCGCGCCTGATGCTGGAGGCGCGGCGACGGCGGTTGCGGGCCGGAAACGCAAGCTGAACAGCAATTCCGCCCGGGGTGTCGCCAATCTTACCCCGGAACAACTAGCTAAGAAGCGAGCCAATGATCGCCAGGCCCAGCGCGCAATTCGTGAGCGCACGAAGGCTCATATCGACTTGCTCGAACAGCAGGTCCGCGATCTTTCATCGCAGAAACCGTACTTAGATCTTCAGGCTGCTCTGAAGCAAAATGAAGCCGTTCAGGTGGAGAACAGAGAACTCAAGCAGGGGTTGAAAGCAGTCCTCGAGATTATACAACCCCTGTTGGGAGACCAGGCAAAGTCTGGTAGGTCACATCTGTTGTCTAGTTTGCTTCGACAAACCTTGGGGCAGATATACTTACCTCAAACATGTTCGAGATCTTTTAGCGTCGGCAGCCGCTTCCACAAGCGCCAAACCCATGCCCTCGATCTCCGTGACGTCGTGTTTCTCAGACAATGGCCATTTTCCTTCAAACACCCAACCGTCGGCCCCGACCGACTCCTCATATACTAAATCCGCGGGCACGCAGCCCCCTTCCTCCACACCCCTTACGTTCTCGCCCACTGCAGGTCGGCGGAGTTTAACGGCCGCTGGTCCGGCTTCGTTTCGCATCGCATTTGATTACCAGCGGCATAATTTAGCCCATGGCCTCGACTTCGGCGGTACGGATGAGCGGATGGGATTCAATTTCTTGCTCGATACATCACAACAGGTGCCCAAGGTGGATGGATTCCGTCGTTGCTCCGAGGCACCGAGACCAGCCCCTGCGAGCACAGCCTCGACGTATCCAGCACCTTTGCCTGCGGGTGCGACGACGGAACAATCGCTGTCCTTGCCCGCGCACTTGACTCCAATCCGGAACATCGCTCCGACCTGTACACTAGACGCCATCCTCATGGACTTCTTACATCATCGTCAGCAAGAGGCAGCAAAGGGTGTACCGAAACAGAATCTTGTTGGCCCGTCATATCCTAGCGTATCGTCCTTGCTTAATCCAGAACGGAGTGTGTACTCACATCCTTTGTCGAAAGTGTTCACCGACATTCTGCGCACATTCCCGGATATCGCAACACTGCCGGAACAAGTTTGTGTTCTTCTCCTGATGTTCCTCCTAATGCGATGGCAAATATATCCAACTCAAGAGAATTACGAGCGATTGCCGGAATGGCTGACCCCCCGTCCATCGCAGCTGCTCACTCCGCATCCGGCTTGGATTGACTACTTGCCTTGGCCGCGCATGCGGGATCGCCTGGTGATGACATATCGAGACTATCCGTTCGAGAATTGGTTCATACCCTTCACACGGACTCTGTCGGTCAATTGGCCATACGAAGCAACAGATTGTCTTCTGTCTACTGGTGATGGTGACGATCTGATCATCAATCCTGTCTTCGAAAGACATTTCCGAAACCTTAGCAATTGGTCCCTCGGCCCGGCGTTTGCGGAAGCATACCCTTCGCTGGTCGATACAACCAAGATTAAATGAAAGCCGCTCGCCGGTAATAGTACAAATCATATAAATGGTAGTAGACTTGAGTGAACCTAACCATGGTTTTAAGTTTGGTGATCTGTGGCCTCAGTCATGCCTAACGTTTTGTTCTCTCATTTGGACCCATGTCATGCGCAATGATCCGCCTGAAAATACACCTTATCCATGGATAATTGCTTCCAGATTTTCGACTTTTGACTTGGTCAACTCAAAGCTGCCAATGCATTAAGGCATGTCCTGAAAACGAAAGACACGGTGCTTGACATATTTCATGATTTTGAGTCATAGAACGGCGTTGGATATTATGTGTATCACTCTTCCAAATGACAAATTCACAGACATCCTAATGCCGGAATCCCCGGGATTGGCTTAGTACATGCAGAGTGATTGAAGAAGCAGTTTGTTCGGTCATGACGAGTTGCCCTGCCTGCTCTTCTCATTCCAGAATGGCAATCCCGCCTTCTGCCGTAGAACACCATACATGGAGCTGCTATCTAAGCATTCACCCGCATACTCCCTGGCAGCCTCCATGTTGTCACAAGCCACTTTCAAGCCCGGGAGCTCAACCTTGCTCTCCTCGGCCATCGCAAAAGCATGTTTGGCATCTTTGATAGCCAAGGACACTCCAAATCCAGGCCGTGAGCCCAGCGGAGGCGCGTACACGCCCGTCGTTAACCTAGCGCATGTTAAAAGGGTATATTCATCAGCTGAGCAGTGGGAAAAGAAGGACCAGCCAACCTCTTAGAATATCCACCAGCGACGGGGCCAAAGGCTTCCCCGATGAGCTCCTCCATCGGCCCAGTTCCCAGGCCCGTGCGTTCAGCGAAGACCTGCGCTTCGCCGACGGCTTCCATCATATTGACGGTGACAATATTGCTAGTTTGGGTGGGATGCACCGCCCATGATTAGCACTCCTTCCATCTTCGCATGGAAACGGGCAAAAACAAAAAGCGGAGTGGGAAATGTAAAGGTGCTCACCCAGCGATCTTCAACAGCGAGGCTCGCGTAGCATCCTCGCCACAGTCGATGACCTTCCGTCCCATCACGTCCTGGATCAACGGCTTTACTGCTTCGGATGCTCGCTTCGGCCCGCCAATGGCGAAGACGAGCTTGCCGTCGGCCGCGATGGGGTTGCCGCCGAAGACGGGCGCCGCCAGGAACGACGCCTCTTTCTCCTTGAGCGTGGCCACGGTCAGACCGACCGTGGTCGGGTGGACGGTCGAACAGTCCACGAAGATCTTGTCGCGCAGGGAGATGCCCGACCCCGTGGCTGAGGAGATGAGTTGTTGGAGGACGGCGTCGTTGGAGACCTTTTCACATAGTTAGTTCGATCATTTCTCTTCGACACCGCGCTGTAATGAAGTCCCAGTAAGGTGTTTCGAGCAAGGAGGAGAAATAGACATACCATGGTGAATATGATGCCACACTGGGCGACAAGCTTGGTGAAACTCGACTCCGGGGTCCCGCCCAGTGCCCTGAGGGGGTCTCCGCGAGCCATTGTCCGATTCGAGTAGATCAAATTCAGGGCTCTCTTGCTGGCAAGGTGCTTTTGGAGGTTACTGGCCATGGCCAGGCCCATGGAGCCGAGGCCATACTGTTGGGGCGGGGGGATCTCAGTATGTGACGCTTGGTGGTTTTGTTTGGGATATGAGGACGGGGGCAGGGAAGGGGAAATGGTATGGCACGGACCCAACCGATTTGAGGCATGGTGTTTGTGTAAGGTATACTGAGACCTCTTGAGCAGGGATTGCACTCGCTCAATGTGAAAGGAATGGCGAGTGATGGTTGGGTTTTATCTTGTATGGTCTGGAAGTAGGACTGTACTGTCCCTGCGTATCTCGGGCGACAGACGATAACCGGCCGGGCCCGATGTCGGGAGGCGGAGATATTGGCAAATGACCATTGCACTTTTATTCAGTCGTATATTCCATTGTACGCATCACGCTGAGGTTTGGTTTTTCAGTCTCAAATTGATTCTTGACTAGCCTCGGTTTCTAAAGGTCACAGTCTTTATGATTTGAAGTATGGAGGGTTTCTGATGATCATTGGGACTAGTCTCTTCATGGGACGCAGCGAGACTGTTGTGTGCTCCCGAGTAGTTTCGGCTTAGAGCATAGAATTCTATTTTTATAGCATGTATATACTTATAGAGAACAAGCATATGAGACTGATGGCTTAGTTATAGGATAGACAGCAATACATCCTCACAGCCTCAGGCAGCAACTCGTGACTGACCGCCCGGCAGGCCCCACCGAAGCAGTGCCGCTCCGGACGGGCGACCTGGTCTTCCACTGCTGCTGCGGCTGCTGTTGTTGCTGCGTCTCCGACTAACTTACTGCCTACCTGCCTTCTGGACGTCATCTCCATACTCCCTCGTTCCCTTTCCCCTTCACCCGCTTTCTGATCAATCGCCTTTCTTTTTCCTTTTTCCCGGTCGCTCAATCTCACTATCACCATGGCTGATATGCCTATTGGTACGTTGCGCGCCTCCCACCTGGACCCCTCACCCCCCCTCCTCCCCCCTTACTCTCTCCGCCAGTCTCTCCTCTCCTTGCCCGGGATCTCTCCGTACCTCCCGCGTTCCCTTCAGCTAACCACAACAATTCACCCAAACAGTGCTCGATGGAGGAACGGGTTTCCTCAAAGTCGGATATGCTGCGCAGGTTGGTCTCTTTCGTTTTGGTCTCGTCAATTTCGTTCTTTCATTAACGCTTGCGTCTTCCTGCAGAACTTCCCCGAGCACCAGTTCCCCTCGATAGTGGGGCGCCCCATACTGCGGACGGAAGAGCAAGCAGGCGACATTGTCGTCAAGGATATCATGTGCGGCGATGAAGCTGCTGCCGCCAGATCAATGCTCCAAATCACCTATCCCGTATGTCTATACTCTCGCTGGTTCTGAATCACCGTCTCCCCCGCTTCCGGCACAATCCAGCAGACATGTTAACGTTGGGCCGGAATGGTTTCCTGGCCGGTCTTACTAGATGGAGAATGGAATTGTCAAGAGATGGGATGACATGCAACACCTATGGAACTACACGTTCTACGAGAAGATGAAGATCGACCCCACCGGCCGCAAGATCCTCCTCACCGAACCCCCCATGAACCCCCTGAAGAACCGGGAGCAGATGGCCGAGGTGATGCTGGAAGGCTACAACTTCGGTGGTGTATACGTCGCTATCCAGGCCGTCCTTGCGCTGTACGCTCAGGGTAAGTGTCGCCAGTGCTCTTGAAAACCAACTAGGTCACCGACTAAGCTCCATGCTCTCTTTCGGCGAATCGCAGGTCTCAGCAGCGGTGTCGTCGTCGATTCCGGAGACGGTGTCACCCACATTATCCCCGTCTATGAATCCACCGTCCTGAATCATCACATCCGCCGACTGGACGTTGCTGGTCGCGACGTCACCCGCAACCTCATCGCCCTTCTTCTCCGCCGCGGGTATGCCCTCAACCGCACGGCCGACTTCGAGACCGTGCGCCAGATCAAGGAGAAGCTGTGCTACGTCTCCTACGACCTGGAGCTGGATAAGAAGCTCTCGGAAGATACGACGGTCCTGGTCGAGTCCTACACCCTGCCCGACGGCCGTGTCATCCGCGTGGGCAGCGAGCGGTTCGAAGCCCCCGAGTGTCTCTTCCAGCCGCACTTGGTCGACGTCGACCAACCCGGTATCGCCGAGCTGCTGTTCAACACCATCCAGGGCGCCGATGTCGACGTGCGCTCCAGTCTCTACAAGGCCATCGTGCTCAGTGGCGGAAGCAGCATGTACCCCGGCCTGCCCTCGCGTCTGGAGAAGGAGCTCAAGCAACTGTGGCTCACCCGAGTACTGCAAGGAAACCCGGAGCGACTCAACGTATGCGCTTTCTGCCCCGAAAAGCCCTCCATCTGCGCTCTATGTTTAAGCTAACGTGGTTCCTATAGAAATTCAAGGTCCGCATCGAAGACCCGCCCCGACGAAGACACATGGTCTTCCTTGGAGGTGCCGTGCTGGCCAACCTGGTACGCAATGCACCCACCCCTTAGATGTGTCCGTGCCTGTCCCGCTAACCCCTGTGTGTCTTGTTTCCAGATCGCCGACAAGGAGGATATGTGGGTCACCAAGCAAGAATGGGAGGAACAGGGTGCACGTGCCCTCGCCAAACTCGGTCCTAGATAAAAAAAAAGGTGTCTAGGTAGTTTACCACTTTCAAACCACGTAACCAGTACATATATGCATCCATACCTATCCACCTACTTTTCCAAGTGCTCAGCCCGCCATCTTCTGATCCCACTGGGAATCTATTCTGAAACATTGCGAGGCTTGTCGCGTCGCGTCGCACCCTCTCTTCAAGCCAGATCCTTTTTTTTTATTATCTCTATATCGATCTTCTACGCTCATACTCTGCAGTTATATATACATACTTTCCAGAACCGGGTGTTTGCTATTTTCTATCAAGACGGATGCATGCCCATCCATTTGTACTCAAGCTTGCTGTATTGTAATGCACCCACTTTCGTGCTATGCTCGAAAGCCAGACATTGTAGATCTCACAAACAGAAGGTGTTCGCGGAACCAAGAACACTTCTCAGGGTAATCGATTCAGAAGCTTTTCTCTTCCTGTTACAATCTTACAGAAATGTGACACACAAGATCAACCCGAGTAGTGGAACCAAATCTGCACAGAAAGGCCTTTGTCTAAGTCTATGTGGTGTATATATCTTCTACCAAGTGGACCAACCGCAAACGAAAGAAAATGGAAAAAGAAAACTCCTCAAACATGCAGGACACAGGCCTCTATATTCCCAAGAATACAGAAGGAAGGGAAGGGAAGGGAACGTAGGACCGATACAGAAGACAGTGTCAAAAAAAATGTGTGACTGAGTATGGTCACGCAACCATGAGCACACTCGAAGATATAACAGAGGTCCATGAGATAGCAGGGACATGACACACGAGGGAAAAACCAGAGGCCCGTCTCTACCAGCGGAAAGGCAAATGGATCGATGGAATATATAAATGGTTGGATAGTGAGGCGCAGCCGCCGGGATGTCCCTTTGGTTATTATAAGAGGCTGTAATCTTTTCAGTCATCGGAGTCGGACTCGGTCTGCTCGTTGGCGAGGACCTTCTTGCGCTCTTCGTTCATCTCGCGGTAGGTACTCCAGCTAAGGAGGAAGAAGGCCACGATGATGAGGACTCCGCCGATGATGGAGGCCAGGGACAGGGGTTGGCCAGTACGCAGCCAGTCGACGATCGCCACGAGGAAGATGGTCAACAAGGCGGCTACGGAGGAGAGGACGGGCGAGGTTAGGGAGATCAGGACAAGGAAGGAGCCGGAGAATGCTATAACAGACAAATGGTATTAGTTTCAATTCCAACCCCCAGTTCATGGTGGCTTGATCGGTCTTGACTTACTGGCATTGGCAAGGACGGAGATCAGAAGCATCCAGGCCGCTTCTCCGGTCGGCCAGCGAAAGGTTTCCAGACCAATGATGTGCAGAAAGGGCAAGGGGATCCACAGAACAAGGAGCGTGAAGCATCCGATGAGGCTGCCAAAGGTGTTCGCGAAGATCATGCTGCGTCCGGCGCTGGTACCCTCCGGGGGACACGCGAACCGCTTGTACAAGACCTCGTACAAACCGTACAGCACACTGCCGATACCTATGATGATATTGCCCAGCAACCGGTTTTCGGCTTCGTCGTGCGCTTTGCCTTTCTTGCCGTCGTCGCGATCCCCGTATGCCACCACGAGCACCCCGACGATGGCCACCACGACCGCGATGATCTTGTCGGCCCGCAGTTTGTCCTTGAGGAGGGGGATCGAGAAGGCATACGCGAAGAAGGCGGAGCAGTTGTAGATAGCGGTCAGGTCGCTCGGTGTGGTCATGTTGACTGCAACGTACCAGGAGCCTCCGGCGATTGTGAGAGCGGTGGTGACAAACGCCGTTGTTCGGAGCATGTACGGGATAGGCGATCGTTGAGAATCACGAGACGTGAGGTGTACATCCTGGGTCTCCACCATTTTTGCTGTCGTGCGCAGGATGTAGACATGCCGGCGCCAGAACGCCGCCCAGGACAGTTTGCGTTTCTGCAAGCGGAGGATAAGGAGCTGGAACGGCCACAGCAGCGCCCACGAACCATGTGTGAGATAGCTAGATAGCGCGGAGAAAGGTTAGCCCCTAGAATGAAAGTATCGAAGGTGAGCAAGGCGATCAAGTACTCCGAACTCACAGCATACAATATGGTTTGTCCCAGTGCAGCTCGTGCTGAATGTATACCGCGGTCTCGGTCTGAACCACAAAACTAGCCAGGCTCAGAAGCAGAAACCCCGAGGCAATCAAGTACTTTTGGCGCGTCGCCTGCTCCGCGGTGTGCTCGGGACTACTGCCGCGGATGGTCGGCCGCCGGGAATGGTGAAGCATAGGCCTGCCTTCTGCATCACCATTGCCCAGGCTGGCATTCGACAGCCGTCCGCGACGCTCATCCTTGAGCAGCGGTTGTTGGGCGCGGCCGTCAGCGGGTCGGTGCATGACAGGACGGTTCATAGACATTTCATCGTCCGATTCGTGGAAGGCAAGGGCCGGATCCGGATCCCAGGCTTCTCCAACACCCGTTAATCGCACACTATCTGTAGCCACCTTGTGCGGATTTTCTGGATCAAGGATGTAAACAAGAGTGTTTAGGGAGGAACGCAACAGAAGCGACAATGAGATTTGGAAGCCTGCTCCTTGTCTCTATTATGTATGGGCCGGGGAGACTATGACGAAGCGTGCGTCGGAAAGTGGGATGGGATGAAGGTGGGCGGATAAGCCGCGCAATCGGCCGATGGAACGACAGGCAGCTCAGGTGGACGGAAGGATAGATTGGAGGGACTGCCGAAGGTTTAAAGCCCAACGTTCACGTGGGGGCCTAGCGAAGGAAGAATTGCAGCCCCAGTGGGTCAGTTGCCTGCGGACAGAAGCGGATGATGAGGTCTTGAGGGCAAGGCATACAGCCTCGTATGTATAGGATATCTCCGGGGGGGAAGTACTTCGGACCGCTGCGCTGCGGCCACGTTTGCGAAAGTCGTCCGTGTAATACAATTGTGGGGACGTCTGGACTAGGACAGTAAGGTGGAAGGGAGGAGGAACGAGCCAAGCCCCAAGAAAAATGAAAGAGGGACTGCTGTAAGGGAGGGAGGGAGAAGAGAAAGAAAGAGAGAAAGAAAGAAAGAGGCAAGGCAAGAAGAGTACGGAGTAAGTACCAGGATGTCACGATGGGTGGGAGGGACTATCCGTTAAGGTAGTTCAACTGGTCTATTCCATTTCGAGTCAGGGACCACTAAATAAAACTTCACCGCCTTACTCAACGACAAGTTGGAAATCAGCGCCGGTGCAGCGCTAATTCGGTTCCGGCTAGTCACGTGTGGGGACTCGGAGCGAGTCTCCAGCTTTTCCGTCCACGGTTCCCCGCCGAATCGCCGGATTGGGTCTTCGGGCTTGTACTCCGTACACCTCAAGACAGAGTGCATACTGTCCATCTGAATTTATGATTGAGTAGGATTGTTATTACGGCACTCCGATGCCTCCTGCTTCCCACAGCTGTAGACTTGTACCATCCAAACCTCATAACATTGACCCATGTTGCAGTTCCTCCCCACATATCAATGCGCAAACCGGAAATCCATTCGCTTGTTTCCATCATCATTGGTCGTTGCGACATAGTCAAGCTTCTGCTCCTCGGTCATCAAGTTCCAACGCCGGTCTCGCTCATGATTCCGCAGCATGTAGTAAGCCTTAGTAGCAATGTAGAGTATGATGTTGACGCCCACAAGTATCAGAAGTACTCGGTTCCCTGTGATGTAGCGCGGTGCATCCCCTACGCACAACAAACGCATTCATAGTCAGTCAGGAATGCTTTCGAGATGTGTCACAAGTGATCGGCACTGACCATCGGTGTATATGTTTGAGGCTATGATGGCAGACAGCTGAACAGACATATTATAGATCGCAGCCGCAATGGCCCGAGTTCTCACGCTATTCGAGTTGCGAGAAATCCACCCCGCTTGGAGTGCGTGAGCTGCATAAATGATTGATCAGCAATTATAGTGATGTGTCGGCGGCGGACATGCACTCACCGCTCGGAAGGCTGAGAAAGAGGGTGAGGACAGTCCACACCACCCACTTGTTCGTCTGGCTGAGGTCCACCGCATTCATATAGATCAACATCGGCAGACTCCAGACCTGGGCTATGAGTCCCATCCATGATAGTGACTCAAAATACTCGCCCGCATACGTAAGAATGATTCGTGTGATGATCATGAAGACCTAGGGTAGCAGATCAGCATCCCACCACCGGTACTTTAACAATCAATCATTGGATCTCGCACGCACGCTGTATGGCATGGACAAAAGAATGGAGTTGAATGTATCAAACCCGAAGTCTTTCAGTTGCAGAGTGAAGTACTGCGAGACCGTTGCTGCTCACATTCTGTCAGCTTGGACTTTCTTTTGACAGGCGAAGTAAGGATCAAAGTAGGTTCACTCACTCCAGGGGGTCAAGAACATGATCCCGACAATGTACAGCGGCCACAGATCGAAATCGCTGAAGCTAAGCCATACCAGCTTCGCTGTTAAAGGCTGCCTATTGTGCATTGAGCCCTTACTTGGATCCTCGCGCAATATGCGATTGACCATGATAACTTCTTCTCTGTGAGGTAGCTAATTTAGTGCTCAGAGATCGCGCAAGCTTGGCGAGAGAACCACATACCGTTCTGTAAACCAGCCATCTTTACCTCGGGCCCAATTTGCAGTTTGAGTCGGTCCAGGAGGCAGGAAGATGAAGGACAAAAGTCCCAATGCTAGAGTGAAAAGACCCTGTATCCTATGAGTAACCGTCTTCGGTGGCTTGGGAGAACGTGACTGACATCAATCAAGAAAAGCCAGCGCCAGCCAGCTTGACCACCACGGCCTCCCAGATGCAAGATTCCGTATGCCAGGAGGGCCGCCAGTATGTCGGCCAGCGAAGAAGCTGAGTACCAAAATCCAAGACGTATGGACAACTCGTGGTGCTTATAGAAGTATGACAGGTAAAGTAACATCTAGAACCGGTCAGAACGACTAGCTCGAACCTAGCCATCTTTCAAAATCACTTACCGTGGGTGTGAATCCTCCCGACAAGATACCAATCAAAGCCCTGGTTACTAGAAAAGACGTCCTGCCAGACAGCCAAAACTGACAAGTAGCGACGATAGACCACGATATCATCTGAATCGGAATCCAGCGATCTGCACCGATCTTCTTGCCGATAATTTGCGCCGGTATCTCACTCAGCATATAGCACAACCTATACACCGTATTTCCCAGGTTGTAATCTACCTCGGGCAGGAGCAGTCAGTACAGCGGCGTGGTGTGAATTGGTGCTCACTGA